GGTGTGGCAATTCCCAGGAATTCCCCGCGCTCTCTCCTCCCTCATTAACCGCGGCCCCGCCCGGCGCTGATTGGCCCAAATTACGGCCCAATCAACGCTAATAACGGCTCATTATCATTAATGAACGCAAATTAACATTCATAAACATTCATAAACATTCCCGCGGTGCCACCCCCAGCCGTGTCACTGCAATGTCCCCGGTGCCACCCCCGATTGTGTCACCGCGTTGTCCCCACCGGTGCCACCCCCAGTGCCACCCTGGCTGTGTCACCGCGCTGTCCCCAGTGCCCCTCTGTCCCCAGTGCCACCCTCGGTGCCACCCCCGATAGTGTCGCTGCCTTGTCCCCGATGCCACCCCCGGTGCCACCACCCTGTCTCTGGTGCCACCCCCGACAGTGTCACTGCATTGTCCCCACCGGTGCCACCACCCCGTCCCCCGGTGCCACCCCCCGGCCCTGTCACCGCACTGTCCCCTGTGCCACCCCCGGTGCCACCCTGACCCTCGGTGCCACCTCCGGCCTTGTCACTGCACTGTCCCCCAGTGCCACCCCCGACTGTGTCACTGCATTTTCCCCACCGGTGCCACCCTGTCCCCCAGTGCCACTCCCGACAGTGTCACCGCGCTGTCCCCAGTGCCACTCTGTCCCCGGTGCCACCACCCTGTCCCTGGTGCCACCCCCGACAGTGTCACTGCATTGTCCCCGGTGCCACCCCGTCCCCAATACAACCCCGGCCGTGTCACCGCGCTGTCCCCACCCAGCGATGTCCCCGGTGCCACCCCCGGCTTTGTCACCGCGCTGTCCCCACCCCGGAAGGGCCGTGTCCGGTGCCCGCCCCGCGCCCACGGGGGTGACACCGGGATGGCCCAAACGAGGGGACAGCGGTGCCACCCCCGACAGTGTCACTGCCCAGGGAGGGTCTCCGGTGCCACCCTGTCCCCTGGTGCCACCACGGCCGTGTCACTGCGCTGTCCCCGGTGCCATCCCCGGTGCCACCCCGACCCTCGGTGCCATCCCCGGCCGTGTCACTGCATTGTCCCCGCCGGTGCCACCCCGTCCCCTGTGCCACCCTGTCCCTTGGTGCCACCCCCGACTTTGTCACCACCCTGTCCCCGGTGCCACCCCCGGTGCCACCCCCGGCCGTGTCACCGCGCTGTCCCCGCCGGTGTCACCGAACCGGCCCGACCGGTCCCGCCCGCGGCTCCTCCCGGTGCCACCGCCCCGCGCTGTCCCCGCGATGTCGTCACGGTGTCCCCGCGATGTCCCCCGGGATGTCCCCGCGGTGTCCCCGCAGCGCGCTGAGTTCGTGCCCCGGGAATGCCCCAATTCGGGCCGGGCTGGGGACACGGGGATGTGACATTGGCGCGGGTGGGGACAGCGGGATGTGACACTCGCACGGCCCGGCGCGGGTTTGGCGCGGTTTTGGCGCGGGTTCGGGGCGGTTTTGGCACAGATTTGGGATGGTTTGACGCGGTTTTGGCGCGGTTTTGGCGCGGTTTTGACGCGGTTTTGGCGCGGGTTTGGGGCGGGTTTGGGGCACGCCCGGGCCGGATTTGGCGCGGGTCCGGCCCTGGCACGGCCGGGCAGGGCTGGGCACGGCTCCGGCACGGCTCGGGCACGGATCGGGAACGCCCGGGGCGGGGTTTGGCACGGTTTGGGGACAGCGGGGGCGGGGTTTGGCACGGTTTGGGGACACCCGGGTGGGGTTTGGCACGGCTCAGGCACGCCCGGGGACACGTGAGTGTGGCTTTGGCACAGATTCGGCCCAGTTTGATCCCAGTTTGGCCCGGTTTCCCCCAGTTTGAGCCCAATTTTTGCTCGGTTTTCCCCCAGTTCACTCCCAGTTTTTTCCCCAGTTTAATCCCAGTTCAATCCCAGTTTTATCCGAGTTTTATCCCAGTTCAAATCCAGTTTTCCCCCCACTTCAATCCCAGTTTTTTCCCAGTTTTTCCCCAATTTTATCCCAGTTTTTCCCCCAGTTTTTTTCCCAGTTCGATCCCAGTTTGATCCCAGTTTTATCCCAGTTCAGTTTGCTCCCAGTTTAATCCCAGTTTAATCCCAGTTTTGTCCCCAGTTTTATCCCACTTCCATCCCAGTTCTCTCCCAGTTTTTCCCCCAGTTCGATCCCAGTTCAATCCCAGTTTTTTACCAGTTTAATCCCAGTTCAATCCCAGTTTGATCCCAGTTCAATCTCAGTTTTTTCCCCAGTTCGATCCCAGTTTTCCCCCAGTTTTTCCCCCAGTTCAATCCCAGTTTTATCCCAGTTTTATCCCAGTTCAATCCCAGTGTTTTCCCAATTTTTCCCCCAATTTTTCCCCCAATTTTTCCCCCAGTTTTATCCCAGTTTTCTCCCAGTTCAATCCCAGTTCGTCCCAGTTTCCCCATTTCCCCTCCCCCCCCGCTCCCAACCGCTGACCTCACCTGTGCGCGCGCGGGGAGGGGGCGTGGCCAACATGGGCGTGTCCTCGATGGGCGTGTCCAGAGTGGGCGTGGCCAAAGTGGGCGTGTCCCTGGGCGCCAGGTGGGGCGGGCGCGGCCCCGCAGTCGCGGCGGGACCATGAACGGGCTCCAGGAGAGCGCGGTGAGACCCCCGGGACCCCTCCCCAAATTCCCAAAAAATCCCCCAAACCCCCCCTCCGGGACCCCTCCCCCAAAAATTCCCAAAATTCCGCGACTTTTCCCAAAAAATTCCGGGGCCTTTTCGTTCCCCCCCCGTCCCGGAACTGCCGGGATGGAAATCGGGATCCTTCCCCTTCCTGGGTGGGGTTTCGGGGGATCCTAAAACCCCCTGGGATTTCCGGGACCCTTCCCCAAATTCCCCCAAATCCCCGGGACCCCTCCCCGAAATTCCCAAAAATTCCGGGACCTTTCCCCAAAATTCCCGGGCCTTTTCTTTTCCCCCTTCCCGGAACTCCCGGGATGGAACTCGGGATCTTTCCCCTTCCTGGGAGGGGTCCTAAAATCCTGTGGGACCCCCGGGACCCCTCCCCAAATTCCCAAAGGATCCCCAAAATCCCTCGGGATCCCTCCCCGAAATTCCCAAAATTCCCTGATTCCTCCCTGAAAATTCCCGGGCTTCTCCTTTTCCCCCTTCCCAGAACTCCCGGGATCCTTCCCCTTCCTGGCAGGGATTTTGGGGGATCCCAAATTCCTTTGAGACCCCCGGGACCCCTCCCCAAATTCCAAAAATATTCCCAAAATTCCCGGGACCCCTCCCCAAAATCCCGAAATTCCTCCCTTTTCTCCCTTCCTGGGATTCCCGGGCTGAAATTCGGGATCTTTCCCATTTCCGGGAGGAATTTTGGGGGATCCCAAATCCCTCTGGGACCCCTTTGGGACCCCCGGGACCCCTCCCCAAATTCCCAAAATTCCCGGGACCCCTCCCCAAATTCCCAAAATTCCTCTCTTTTCCCCCTTCCCGGGATTTCCGGGCTGAAATTTGGGATTTTTCCCCGTCCCGGGAAAGTTTTGGGGGATCCCAAATCCCTTTTTGACCCCTCCATCCCATTCCAACCCCACCCCGAGATTTTTGGGAACTTTTTGGGAATTTGGGGACCCTCCCGGGTGGTTTTTTTTTTGAATTCCCGTCCACTTTTTCCCGAATTTCCATCCCACAAACCCCGAGTTTTTTTCCGGCGCCTCCCCCTGGGCCCGCGCAGCGCCGGAGCCGCTCCCAAAATCCCGATTTTTTTTCGGGAAAATTCCTCCCGGGAGCGGCTCCCGGGGATCCCGGGGCCATCCCGGTTTTTCCGGCTGGAATTTCAGGAATTTTCCCGTTTTTTTCCCCCCCCGATTTTCCTTCTCCCGGTTTTTCCGGGCCCTGGGTGGGGCTGGCGGCGCCCCAAAAATCCCGGGAAAAGCGACGGATCCCGGGTTTTTTTTTGGGAATTCGAGCAGCTCCGGGATCTCTCCCATGGGGGTTCCGGGAATGGGAAAAACGAGAGGGGATAATGAAAA